TTCCTTTTGGTAACAATTTGCTTCTGCTTCTTTATCTCCACTTTTCATGCCGATCGCAAGTGCTTTATCGCAATATAATTTACTCTTTCTATATTCTCCAAGCTCAACAAAGACAGTTGCTAGGTTTAGGTATGTTCTTAATTCTCCTTCTCTTTCACCAATTTCCATTTCGATCACAAGTCCTTTCTCGTGATATTCTTCAGCCTTGCGATATTCACCAAGACAATGAAACAGAGTTCCTAGGTTTCCATAACATGTTGCTTTTACAGCTTTGTCTCCAATTTCCATGTCGATGGAAATTGCTCTCTCGTAATATTCTATAGCCTTGACATGTTCACTAAGAGATTGAAACACCGTTCCTAGGTTTCCATAACATACTGCTTATTTTGCTCTGTCACGAATTTGCATGCTGATCGCAAGTGCTTACTCGTAACATTCTCTAGCCTTGGCATATTCACCGAGAAATTTAAACACAGTTCCTAGTTTTCCACACCTTGCTCCTTCTACTGATTTGTAACCAATCTCCATGCTGATCGCAAGTGCCTTCTCGTAATATTCTCTAGCCTTGACATATTCACCGACGGAATGCAACACAGTTCCTAGCTCTCCATGAGCACATGCTTCTATTCTTTTATCAGTTGTTTGCTTGACAGGGATTGGTCTTTCAAGAAGTTGTTTTGCCTCAGCATACATATTTTGGCGCCGATACATCTGTGCCAGTAGTATGCTGAGCCAACCTTCTTCGACTGTATCATCACCCTCGCGGAGAATGGCGACGAGTTTCTTGCCGCACGCTAACGCATTTGTATGATCGCTAACACTGCGGTACGCGTGAAACATGGTGTAAGAGATCTCTTTGTGAATTAGTTGGCAGAATTGCTTTTGTATACTCAGTGCTTTGTTACTGAGCAAAACCAAGCTTTCCTTGCATAATTCGATGGCTTTCAAAGCATGACCAATGTTGAGAAGAATGGTAACAACAGCTAAGTCTATACTGATGGCTTGTGTCATTTCTTCTTCGCAATTCATGACGCTCTCATCCTTAAGCCTTAAGTAGTAACTGAAAAAAATAAACCGACAAAGGCTAAGGGTAGAATATCGCCGTATTACGTAATGCGCTTTGTGTCATTTCGAAGAAAAGCGTAGGGACTTGAAAAAGTCAAGGTTGAGTGAATTAGCATTCTAAGTCTGTGCATAAATTCATTTTGGATGCATTTACAAGTTCGTGTTCTCTATTTTATACTTGACATTTCCTGTTCGCTCTGAAACCACAAAAAGATGGAATGCACGAATCAACTTTGGCCATAGGAAACTTTTCATGAGTAAATTCAACCTTGTCAAAAGCTGGAGTGATTATTCAGGTCCACAAGTGAATAAAAGCTAGTCATGAAGAGAGAAATGGTAAAAATGGCGTTTTATTTTGCCGTTTTCTTTCCCTGAAACACTGAAATTAATCCAGCACAAAATAGAGAAAAAATTCTCCTAATCGCCGCATATACTCATGTTCTCTCTTTAGCTTATAATCAGCTACACATTTAGTGCAGAAGTCTATCATTTGCCGTGAACGTTTTACTTAATTACCCCTGTAATAACATGAGGTTTTTTTTCTGATCTTCACGGTAGCATTTCGCTTGTTTCAGGCTTACTAAGGTAACTTACAAGCGCTGCTCTGAAGTATTTAAATCTTTGCCAAAAATATTTCCCCTTTCTAGTTAAAGGCGTAAATATTTAATACAAAATTAGGGCACGCAATTCAAGACAAGTTGTACTCACCCCGCCAATGTTGAAATAAAAGTCTGAAGACCAGCTTGTATTCCTTACATGAAACGAGCTTTACTGTCAGGTTTATTGTACAATGTTGGCTTTGGAAAGTAAAACACCGGATATGCGTAAGTACGTCATACAATCAGACGTTGCAAGAGGAAATTGGAAAATGAAATTTTCAAGTCCGTCATTTCAGATTTAAATTTTACATTTTTCAAAACAACCAAAATTTTGAAATGTTTTGTTTTACCTATCTAAAAGCAATGACGAAGACTACCCCGACGACAACACCTAATAAAACAAGAATTTATATTTTTTGGTTTTGATTAACCACACGATGTTTTTGAAGTTTATTATTTAATGAAAACAATACATGTCACGGATGAGATATCATCCATCGTCAGTATTACAGTATGTTAGCTAATCTTTTCATGGGTCACCATGAGAAACGCTGGTTAGAGAATTACAATTCGGGTATCGAGTTTTACCATAGATATGTCGACGATACTTTTGCTTTGTTTAATACCGAACAGGATGCTTTATCTTTCTGTAGTTATATCGACACCCAGCACCCTAACATTAAGTTTACCATGGAGAGGGAAGAAAACCAGAAGTCCGCCTTCTTAGATGTTCTTTTAGATAACAATAGCAATTAGGGCATTATCACCTCAGTGTTTCATAAGAAGACCTACACTAACTTTTATAGTTTTGTACCTTTCAGCTACAAATCAGGATTAGTGCGCACTCTGGTAGACCGAAAGTTTAAAATCAACGATACTTGGGCTGGCTTTCATCTTGACATAAATAACCTTACCAAAACACTAAGGAAGAATTTGTTCCCTTCTAACATCTGAAAGAATGTTGATAGAAAATTTCTTAACAATCATTTCATCTCCCATTCCTCTGGGGGTGCTACTCGTAAGGGCAATTGTTTGTATTTTAAATTACCGTACATCGGTCCTTTTTCTATCATAACGCAACGCAGAATTATGAAATTAGTTAGCACTTTTTGCACTGACCTAGACACTAAGTTGGTGTTCATCCTGTTTAAAATCAGGAGTTGGTTTGGGGTCAAGGATCCTATCCCTAAGGATTTACGATCGCGAGTCGTTTATTAGTTTTCATGTGCAGGCTGTAGTGGTTGTTATGTTGGTGAAACCAACAGACACTTTGCCACTCGCATCCGCGAACATCTCTCCTCTGACAAACATTCCCACATCCTTAAACACCTGAGAAATTCTGAAAATTGTCGCTCCCTTTGTTCAGAAGGTTGTTTTAAAATTCTCGACTTTACTTCCACAAGCTTACAATTGAAAATCAAGGAAGCCATGCACATCCTTTGGGAGCAGCCGTCGTCAAATTCCCAGGTCAAATACCTTAATTTATCCCTTTCATACTAATAAGTCCCCTTTCTTAGCTTAAATAGTTTTACTTTTTTTTGGTTCGCGCCTTCATCCTTAATTATTCTTGTTAATATCTCTCTTTGTTACAATATTGATTGGATATTCTTTTTACATTTTTTCACTGTACAACTGACAATGGATGATGTCTCATCCGAAACATGTATTGTTTTCATTAAATAATAAACTTCAAAAATATCGTGTGGTTCATCAAAACCGTATCTCACTTCGTGCTGCTACGAAGCCTTGGTAACAATTTATATTTTACTTTAGAATTTCGCAGTTGTCTACATCTGTTCAGCGCGTCTATTGGTCTATTGGAACTTGCTCAAGCTAAATATGTAACACCGGCGTTTAATTTCAAATCAAAATGCGAAAAATTAACCGCCGTCATTCGCGTTTTCCAACACACGGAGAACCTAGTCATTTCTAAAAAATTACTGGATGGTGTTGCTGTTTCGTTGCCGTCGTTGTTTAAGCAATTACGACGGCGACCCCAAGGACAACGCCAAGTAAAAAATGAATTTATATTTCATTTTGGAATTTCGCAATTGTCTCGATCTGTTCAGTGCGCCTATTGCTCCCAGAACTTGTTCAAGCTAAAAATATAACATCAGCATTGACTTCAAAATGAAAATACGAAAAATTAGCCGTCGTCGTTAGCGATCTCAAAAATACGTAGAACTTAGTCATTTCAAGTTGTTGTTTTGCAGAGGACGGCAAAGAAATGTAAAAAGATTTATAACGCACGTGCACAGCCATTGTTCTACTCATTAAACCTTTTGTTTGGTGACGTTCACGTTGCCTTTGTCGTGGATTGCTTAAGGTGGCTCGATTAGATTTTTCAATAGTGACACCTGCCAATTCATCGACTACTTTTTTTTTTTTTTTTTTTAATATTCGTTTCGGTGTAAAAACATAGACAAGTTTTGACAAAAAAAGCAAAATAGCCACCTTGTTCAAGTTCATATTTTTCGAAGTCAAATGGTGCGATTTTGTTCCACTTTTCAGGAAATGTTGTTCATGTGTATATAAAAATAACATGCGCTCCGATTGCGCTTCCCGTAAGCCCGGCGAACATATACTAGAGCGACTCGATTAGATTTGTTTCATGTTAACAATCGAAAACTTCAGCCGAAGATTTCTAGAAATCACGCTCATAGAATTTGTTTAAACTCGCTACACATTAGGCACACTATCTAAACTACAAGTACAGTAGACAGTTAAGAAAGAAAACCTCTAGATTTCAAGAAAATCGACCTAGAGTAAAAACAGCATTGACGTCATTGCGCTGCTATGGTAACTCCGATTTCGATAAAATACACCGCACCCGAGACTATGATCTATCCCCAGCAAGAGTGTGGATATCAATCTCCTGTATTGTGTTCTTGTGCGCTGTGACTTATATTTAAAGTTGGAAGCTGTCACTATTGAAAAATCCAATCGAGTCACCATAAGGTCCCTAAAACTGTCTGTCTGTTTAGTCTGTTTTAATTGTATCATTATATAGTATATATCTAGCATTAGGACCTCTATGTAAACCACTTTTAGTGATGGAGCTTCCTAATGAAAGATTGTTACTACTATTTTCCTGTGTATCTATTACAGTTGACGTGATTGCTGCCATTGTTATTATCTATTTATGTTTTACCGCACACAGCGTTCAATTCATACTGAAAATGGCACAAGCATCTACCGGAACATGATTATTACTAAGAGTGTTGTATTTTTCTTTAAATGTATATTACATCGCTGCTATTATCCAGGCCAAATGCTACACCAAAGGTAAGACATGTAGTGTAAATAAAATTAACAAGAAAACTTCTCACAACTGGCTTTTAATACTGCTTTTATTACTACTGAGAGATTGAAACTTTAATATAGCTACGCAGGAAAAGGTATCTCTATCACTTGTTTATTTTTTAAGCCCGACTCGAATGTACACTAATTAGTGGTTTGCATATGTCATAGGACCACATTAAATTTGGAAATAACGGGCTGTAGCAGTTGGCAATCAGGATATTTTGTGAGATAAGGCTGACACGCTTTGTATTTTCTTGCCCTATCGGAGTGAACCTGAGATCGGTTCCGGAACCTGACGACTCCTTTTTCTTTTCTACTTTTTTTGTTTACAAGGTAGAGTGGCTCAATTTAGAATGAGTAAATCCATCATAGCGATGCAGTCCATTTGGTGTTATCAACGAGGCTTCCATGTTCTTGTACCTCATGTAGTGGGCACAAAATGTCAGTCCAGAGACCCTAAGGAAGTGAAAATAAGGAGGAATTCAATTGCTTTTCTCAGTTTAAGACTGCTGTTGTAGCAATTATAACCCGAGGTCAATGTAAGATAACTTGTATAACTGGAATAACCCGGAAACCACGTATGTCCGCAATACGGACATATCTTTAGCTGTTGTTGTTGCTGCTGTTGTTGTTGTTCTGGCTTCGGAAGCAAACAGTCATTCTCAAAATAGACTTGTACTCTCGTTTGAACTGCCTATTCGTGGTGCCATATATAAAGGGGTTGACTGTACTACTCAAATAAGCCAAGAACGCGTATGTAAGGTACGCCTGTCGCGGCAAAGTGTGTTCCCCGCGCGCGGCGTCAATGTTATCCATGATGGAGATAGGAAGCCAACAACATGTGAAGCCGACCATTACTGCCGCTAAAGTTTTGGTCACTTTTGCTTCTTCCACGTTCGCTCTCAGTTGCTGAAGGGTATTTTCCTGGAAGAAAACTTGATTTGATCTAGACACTGTGCGGAATACTTTGGCGTAGCAGATTGTGATTATAGTTAACGGTGCTGCGACGTAAACGCACTCAATAAAGACAGTATAGGCAATATTGCTTTCAAATGTGTACAAACACATCGCTTTACCCGGCTGGAATTCAAATCTCCCGTTCTTGATGAAAATTGGAGGCAATGATCCAAAGAGAGCCGCGCACCAAACAACAGCAATGTACAGCAAAGCTCTTTGTTTCTTGAACAACACAATGTACTTTTCTGGTTTTACAACACAGTAATATCGACTAACTGCAATTAATCCCATGGTGCCCATGGAGACCAGTCCAAATGTCAATGCTCCAAATCCTTGGAAACGACAAAAACTCTCACCAAACATCCAGCGGCCGTGAAACAGAGTTACAACTGTAAAAGGCATACAGAAGGTGGACATGAGAATATCGCTTACACCAAGTGCTATCACGAACATATTGGGAAGCGTACGAAGTCTCTGGTTTCTGTACACGGCGTAACAAGTTAGGAAATTGCCGAAGAAGGCCACAATATTGATAACAGCAAGCAAAACTGCTTCAGTCCATTCTACAGCCTTTGTTCTCGTGGCAAGTTCGACAGAAAGCGATTCCGTCATGACTTTTAACGTTCACGAACCTGAGCTGTGAAAACTTAAACCTATTATTTTTCAGCGAAGGTATTCGCTTTTGAGCGTTGTAGAGCAAAACTCGTTTGTAGCTCTTAGGCTGATTTAACTGCGGAAGTCTGTGTCATTCTGCCGGAACAACAGTCGATAGCTGTTGTCATTTGTATGCAATCACACGATAGAATGCCGATCACATTGCTTGTCAGACACCTGCCTTGTCGACGTGTTTTTAAGTTTCTATTTGTCAGCCGCAATAATTCATTAAAAGCCATGTCCACAACTTGCTTAGCACACTTTAACTTAGCTGGGAAATTTTGACATGTTATATATCTCCTCGCATTAGTAGTATACTGAAATAGCACGGTATCTACGACTTCTACGGCGTATGATATTTTCAAAATTCACTGCATTAGACTAAACGAATAAAACATTTGCTGACCTTCGTCACGTGAGAAGGCCTTAAGGCCTGTCCAAACGGGAAATGTTTGGCGACCAAACACCATCAAGCATTGTTTGGTGACCAAACATTTTATCTTTTGACCACCTTGAGTGGTGCTGTTTGATCGTGTTTGATCGTATTTGGTCGTGTTTGAAAAAATTTGAAGGCCATCAAACATTCGATCAAACAACTTAAAACATTATTTTTGTTCTCGTGTTTGATGGGCGATGTCTTGTTCCTTTGGACAGCCGTATCAAACATGTTTGGCGCGCGCATGCGTCCCACACTTGCTCAGCGACTTGTATCCATAGTTTAATCTGTGTTTGACCAAAAATGTTTTAACCGTTTGGCCACTCACTTCAACATCAGCATGTTTGGTCAGCAAACAATGTTTGATGATGTTTGGTCGCCAAACATTTACCGCTTGGACAGGTCTTTATAGAGGAACTATTTGAAATACCAAAAAAAGCCTCACAAATATTGGTGCATTGATAATCGAGGAACATTATAGCCAAGTTTCGTAAGAATCCGTCAAATATACGTACCCTATTTAAAATTCGCCCGAAGGAAGGGAATTCACGCAAAAAAAAAAAAAACTTACTTTTTTTTATTACTGTATTATATTTTACCGGATGCGTATTGTAAGCGATGTTTGTACTTAAAGTCGCGGTAAGGTGTGAGTGAATTGTTTTATTTAACAAATAAAGAGGCCTAAGCCGTGTATTACACTGTAATAAAAACGAATGTGTGGCGAAAAACAATAAAACACGCTTTCTGTTTTATTTAAGTAGTAAACCACTCTTTCTATGGGTTTACTGGCGCAATAAACCACGCGGGATGTTGGGAGAACACGAGAAAAGCTTGTAAATCACGAGCCGTTAGGCGAGTGTTCTCTCAACGTCCCAAGTGGTTTATTGCGCCGGTAAACCCATAGAAAGAATGGTTTATCGCTTTTATGAAACAAATATGGGAAAAGTCTGTCAATGAGAGGAAAAATTTTAAGTTGCTTATTCTCATCAAATTCAAGAGATAACGCGACAAACCAATCACAGCGACTAAAAGAATGAAAACACAGACTCCGCGCCGGACATGAAATCCGAAGAGCAAAGCAACGAAAACATTTTACGCTAAGAAAGTTTTAAGAAAAGAGTGGAAAAGGTTATCGGTGTAAGGCAAAAAGCATATTAATTAACTCAAAAGTATTCTGACGGGGAAATGCAGGGATTCTCAAGTGGAATCGGTCATCACGAAAGTAAAAGGCTATACGCGGAAAAGTGTTCAAGCAGTCCAGACTTTAGGTGCTTGGTGAAGCGATTCGACGCAGTGTTTAACGGTAACTTTCCAAAGTTTTGCGAATGGAATAAAGGTTAGTAACAGAAACGCTGCTTCCGAAATTTATTCAGAACTTATTTACTTATGCTGAAGGCAATGAAGTCCGTGTTTCTCTCTATATTTTGCTAAATGAAAACTATTGCTTGAAAGCTAACCTTATGGAAATCAAATTCATTATTTTATCGTGGTGTAATGCATGTATGCATGGAGTTTAAACTCAAAATTTCTGATAGGAAGAAATATTTTCCCTGCTTTTTTGACAACCCAAATTGATCAGTCAAGCCCAGCTGACTTAATCCTCCGCAGACCGTGGTAAGCACCGAAATAAGTGTTTCAAACTTCCTTAATCTTAATCTTAAGCGTAACCGGAGTCGGCGTAAAAGTTTTACCCTGGAAAAAATATAAAAAGCTTTATATGACTACCAACTTCTGGTCCTATGTTTCCTTGCAAATTTCCATGTATATGTTGAATGAAAAGATATTTGTGTTATCGATATCTCAGCCAGTGAAAGGCGAGACTGATTATTACATTTGTTATCGCTAGAGTTCCGAGTTCTCTAGTTCTCCCGTAGATCGAGCTGCCATAGATCAGGAACCGTGGTTTACCGGTACAATAGAGCATAGGTTTAGCAACTCTATTGACCAATCAGAGCGAGCTTAGTATCTCAGTTATTTTATAAACTCTGATAAAACATGGGTTTTCGACCAATCAGAGCGCGTGCAGGATCCTAAATGCCTATATTACAAAGGCTAGTAATGTAGCGTATTATAATCAGGGTTACGTACAAAAAGTAAAAAAAAAAAAGTAAAAAGCTTTATTAATGTGCCAATGTATTTAGATTTCACAACTAATTGGGGACACAGCAAAAAAAAAAATTAAAATTATTTACAAATAAGGAATAATAATAAAAATGTACATACAAATAAAATTGTGTGACAAACATTGTATTGAAAGCAATGTACTGTAAGTAACGTAACGTTAGAAATCAAAAGACTGATCAACCTTCTTACTTTGATCTCCCCTTCTTAAACTCATTAATAAATGATCAAGTTAAAACAGGGAAAATCACAACCGTGAAGGAGGTTTGGATACCCAGTCTTAATTAGCATAGATTTTGACGTTTTCACTTCTCCGTTTTCTCCTTAGTTTTTGTTTCGATTGAGAAGATATGTCAAACACTCCCGACAGTGTTCCATCAGCTATCCAAATACAATAGCGGCTGGAAGTCGAGCCTAGCTCATTATCTAGTGAGTGATTTTCTCCAGTCTGTTGGTGATAAAATTGGCGTTGCATTCGTCGACTTCCAGCGTTTTCCCATTAATAGAGAAAATGTCTTCCGTAATGTAATGGCGTGGTGGCCTCATGGTTAGTGCGCTTGTCTCTGGATCGAGCGGTCCCGGTTCGGGTCCTGGCCGGGGACATTATGTCATGTTCCTGGGCAAGACACTTTACTCTCACAGTGCCTCTCCCCACCCAGGTGTATAAATGGGTACCGGCGACCTTACTGCTGAGGGTAGGCCTACGATGGGCTAGCATCCCATTTAGGGGGTGAAAGAAATACTCCTAGTCGCTTCATGCTACAGAAAAAGGGAAAAACTCCCGCCTGATGAGCCACTTGGCTCATATGCAAACTTTTTTTATGTCGCCGACAGCAAAATGTCATCACTGTTATTTGATATTTCCTCTCCAGTCCCCCACTTTACTGGAGGTCCTAGAGGTCTTGAAGTATTATTTCAGCGGCCACGTCTCTTTCGTTTCTGCCACAATACATCAAAAAGCGATGGATACCGGCGTAAGTAAGCCTCATATTACATCTAAACCAAACTACTACGAAGAAAAACTTCTCAAGACGTCTTCTGTTTTATCTTTCCTTGCGATTCTGTTGACGTTTGCCTTGTTCGCAAGAATCGAGATAGTGGCTCGTAACACGGAAACGATGGATTCAAAGTTCACGCAGCAAATTCAACGAATGCGAGAAGCTCTTGACAAAGCAGCCATTCTACAGGAACGTAAGAAAGGGGATTCCAACATGGTTTTTGGTAGGTCACAAGTATTCTGTGTATAATTTTGAAAACGTAAGGGAAGGTATGAGAATCGTGAGGCATAGTCTGTAATTGTTCAGCCTGCCTCGGAAAAGAGCTGCACAGTGCTGTCATATGTCATGTCATGTCTTATTTTTATTATTTAAATTGGCGCGCCTTCGCCAATATGCTACTATGCTTCTGTGCTGGCATTCAAGAAAAAAAAATGCAACTGAAGTTTCAGCTAGAATGTGGGGAGGCTGCTTGGCTCATGTTCATTATTTTACCTAACGTATATTTCATGGCTGCAAGCGTGCGCTTGTTTCCACAATGTTATAACTATTTGTTGATACACATCAGAAACCCATGACCTTGTATTTTGTTTCGTGAATTGCGGGTCAGACATAATCCCCGGGACGTGATCAAACCGGCAGAAAGAGAGACAGAAATGTTCCGTAAGGAGACTGTATTAAGCTTCTAAAAGATTAGCATTGTACAGAAATGATACTCTCTTTGAAATCCTAATCAAAACATGATTAAGGCACCAATACAAAGGTAGTATTGTTCAGCGCAGCGTGGACCCAGTACAGAAATGAAACTCTCTTATCCTAATCAAAACATGACCACAGAAAGTGTTTTAAACAAGTAAACATGTATTTTCTTTTTTAAAGGCACCGAATACAAAGGTACTATTGTTCCACGCAGCGTGGACCAAGTAAATGTTAACGACTCTGTGGGTATACAAGATATTCGGCACATGATCAAGAGATATGTCACATCGATAATCACTGGATCTGTCTGCCTAGCGCCTGGAAAAGTTTGTGTGGCAGGGGCCCCCGGTCCTCGAGGTAAACGTGGACCGAAAGGAACTAAGGGAAGAAAGGGAACGCGGGGTATCATGGGACCTCCAGGTGAACAAGGGAAGCAAGGCATGATGGGGGATATTGGACCAGCTGGAATGAAAGGAGAAAAAGGTATTTGATTTACAAGTGCTTACCTTTAAGGGAGCTACGTTGCACTTTGCACATCAAAGCGAGGAACTTATAGTCCTCCAGGCTAGAAACTAATAAGGTTTGATACTTAAACAATAATTTACATATTTATCACATTTTTACTTGCTTGTATTTATTTGTATTGTATATATTAAGTGCATGTTGATTGTAGTAGGGGATTAGATCGCAATTGGGACGCTAGTTCTGTTTCTTTCCCCGTCACATCCCGTACTATTTTGAAATTATTTGCCTATTTGAAGTCAGTTGTTTGTCTATTTGAAATTTTGTTCTTGTATATTGGTGACGAACTCGTTAAACTAAACTAATCCTAAAAAGGTAGCCGAAATTTTTCAAATTCGTCGTTCGCAATCCGTGTTAATCTTCTTCATCCTTAACCATCCTTGTTCCTTCCTGGTTTACTATTACTACTACTATTTTTGTTTTCAGGTTTAATTTCCTTCAATGTAAAGGTCACAGTTTTGTACCTAGCCAAAATACCGTGACTGGGCTCCTTTAACTACGGATAAGATCGAAGTGGGGTGGGAGGCAGATATAGATAGTCTCCTACGCATCCATTGGGAGGCGCCGTGGCCTCATGGTTAGTGCGCTCGACTCAGGAGCGAGCGGTCTGGGTCCGAGCCCTTGCTGGGGACATAGTGTTGTGTTTTTGGGCAAGACACTTAACTCTTTCAGTGCCTCTCTCCACCCAGGTGTGTAAATGGGTACCGGCGAACTTAATGCGGGGACGTAATCCTGCGA